TCCAATGATAAGTACTTAGGACAATCCAAAAACAGTGGCGGAGGTATTTTAATTCTTTATAGAAAGCTTAAAGAAACTTTCTCTCTACTCAGTCTGATGGTAAAAACAATGTTCTATTTTTCTGTAGTATTTGATCATTCTGCAACTAATATGATAATAATAAAATTTCAATAAGTTCTGCTTGGTTATGATGTGTGACGGTTAAATTAGTTCATATTGTCTTCGATATGTATTAGCTTCTTGATTCTCTTTTTGTTCTTTTTTTCTCTTGTCTTTATTGTTTTTTCTCGCTTAGAATTCTGAGTCTGGCTACCTTTGAAGGATATTCTTTTTCAGTTCGAAAAGGAAAATAAACAGTTAATAGTTCATGTCCAATCTTATCGACTTGATAAAAGCAATTACAAAAAGTTATTAACGCCTTCATTTTTGGGATCATGGAAAACTTTCTATGCTTCAATCTTTTCATAGATTGACTAGCGTGAAGTTCTAGATGACTACTTCGGAAATCATGAGTGTTCAAAAGTACAATTTTGATCAGAGAGACTGTCTTGTTTGTTGGCGTTCGCATTTTGTACAAAATTCATAGTTTATTACAATAGTTGAAATTCTGCTTGCAACTTTTGATAATGGGTGAATGAGGATAAGTGTAAGGATGATAGGAAGCGAGAATCCTTACCTTCAAGTTTTCCCTCACTCACAGCTACGCACGTCCACGTCCACATTAAGACCAATTATAAAAGTATCATGCATAAATTACCCATTGTTTCCTCTTTATCGATGATCCACTCAGCCCAAAGAACACATTATATCCTAGTCAAAAACTCGCGAAAAAGAGCTTGAGTGTTCACTTCGAGGAAGAAACAGCGAACTTCACGATTTCAAGAGGGTGTGGGTGTGGGTGCGTAGAAACGGCAATTATATTGGTTAATTCAATTTTAATTCGCCTAGTCTTTCTTTGACTTCTTCATTCAATTTGACTGATATCATCAACAAGAACAATAACAATATATATTTTTTCCAACGATCGAAATTGATAATGATTGAGTGAATTCATATGAGGAAGAATGTTTTTATTTCTCTTTTCTCATTTGTTTAATAGTCCAAAACAGACTGAAAAAAAAATAAATAAATCGAATAGAGAAATGTGATTAGTTTAATTCCGACTTAAATCATCTTTTTTTAGACGATTTATTCTTTAATTCAGTTTTCAATTCACTTTATGTTTTTCAGTCTTGAGGTACCTATGTCATGTGACGAAGATGATCAGTTTTCGAATTATTCTTATGTGATGATCATTTCTTTGATTTCCTTCTCAATTGCTTCCTAATGTTATGAATTTTAATGACTCACAATTATACTTTTATGCAGAAAATGAAAAGGAACTTTTTTAATTTTTCATTACTAGAATTTATTTTGAAAGATTTTATTTTGTTTTATTTTCGAAATATTCTACTAAGAAGATTTGTCACAAAATTTAGTTAATGAATATTAAATTGTATCTCATTGATTATCTTCTTTATGATGAATTTTACAAATCTTCAAACGACATTTTCTACTTCAACAAATCAACTATAAACAATAAGTTCGAGATATTTAAAACATTGATTGCAATAAGTAGATGCATCTGTTTTCATATAAAATGGACTTTCCAAAGCTGAAATCAATCGTGATATAGAACGAGTTGATAGGAAGTTTTTACAAGAAAACATAATCTATCACATATGGAATAATCTTGAGCTAGTTACTAACAGCTGTTTATCTCGGTTGACTCAGCTGATAGCACACTGACTATGTGCTTGACATACACAAAAATCTCATGTAGCTTCTATATGGTTAGATAGTGTCTACGGTGAGCTTAAGTGATTAAGCAGAACCACATTGAGTCAGACCGACCTTCTGTCCAGGGCTACAACTAGTAATAGTTGTAGAAATAATATCGGGTTTATGAAATTGTCTTCGAACAGTACTCCACTCCGGAAGATAGGCGAAAGGCAGAAGATCTTTCTTCTATTCTTCTTTAATTCTTACATTCATTTGATTTAAAAAAAAAAGAGAATATATCACAAGATAAAGCGTGAAAAGTTCTACAATCTGCAATGTAAAGCTTATTTTAATTGTGTACTTTGTGTTTTCCAAAAATAAAAAAAACAAAATTCTGTGGGATCAAGTTCCTCCTTTTGAAAACTGACCGCGCAGACTTTTGTTTGTTTGTGTTTTGAATACAAAAAGCATATGATTAAGATAAACTGTTGCTTGTAAATTGTGAGTTTTTCACATTGCATCTTGTAGTATATTCTCTTTTTTGATTTAAATGTATTTAAGAATCAAACTATGAAATGCAAAGTTCTGTCATGTATTATGGGTCACCCTTTATATTGAATATTATTCAAAGATTGATTGCATCAATAATAGACATGAGTTTTATTGAACTTGCACTCTTTTTCTCATGGATGCACAATTCACAAATTTGACGCTTGATCCAAAAACATTGTAATAATCCTTGTTACATTAAAAATCCAAATATTTTTTCAATATTCGAATTATCAAATAAAATTATTTAGTATATTTTTATATTATAAGATATATCACTAGATGAGTACAGAAAATACAAAAACTAATACTTATAAAAATATGATTGAAATACCTTTTATTTAAATGAATATATTCGAGCAAAAAAAAATTGTTCAAAAAAAAAGAGAAAAAAATTTTAAAATTGTTTTTCTACAAAAATCATATGATCACTTTGATCAATATTTATATAGGATTCGCAGAAGTGTTTGGCTTCGATCTCTATTATTTTGAAGACATCCCATCACCATTTTTTTAATATAAGTAGATCTTACTATGTCCTTAAAAGTTGCTCGAACATGGGCGTATCAAATTCTTATCTAATACCTTCAATTTTTCTTTGATACAGATAATTATAATATCAAGTATGTATAATCAGTATAACATATCTTGATATTATAAAGATACTATCTTTTTTTCTTTCTAAAGTGTTCAAGTAAAGTTTTTCTGCATTGATACTTATTATATGAATCTATGAGAGTAATTGATTATTCAGATGCTATGTATCTCTAATATAACGAAACTAATTATCAAATTAAAGACTGGAAACTCTTTGGTATAAATGATGATTAATAATCGTATATGATGTAGACAAGTGGAATACACTACAAGAATAAATTCAATGACGGTTGTCGAATAGAATTCAACTGATAGTCTTTTGGTCTGTACATATTACGGGGATAAACTATCTTGAATTTCTTTCGAACATGGAAGTCGTATTGGAAACTTTTTTTGAAAAACTGCAAATGGATAAACTAATGTGATTCCAGAGAATAGTATGTGACTTCGTTGTCGTCATCAGATGAGTATTCATAGTCAAATATTGAATCGGAATAATGTTAAGTATCTGAATTAGTTGATGAAGGTTGTTTGTTTCTTTTGAGCTGATAACGTTCATAAGCAGGGAACCAAATTTCGAATACGACATATGAACAGCACCTTGGTGAGAACTCCTCAAATATTAGAGATCAAAGTCAAACACCTCCGCGAATTCTATATAAATGACCAATGAGGATCAGTATGGTCTTATCGAAATCCATTAAGCAAGTATTTGAAAGGCCCATGTTCGAGCAATTTTTAGGGATATAGTAAGGCCTACTTATGAAGAAAAAATGGCGGCGGAGTCTCTTGAAATAATGGAGATCGAGGGCATACAAGCCAGCCATCAATGACTCTGTATTCTATATCTCCTATGTCCCATATACCCTTTACCCTATATATATTTAAATCAGAAGGAAAATCACTATTATAACCAAAAACTATTATCTAGATAGATAGTGGAATCAGTTACCTTTCTTTTTATATATAATGAGTGGGAGTTTTCTTATGATTTTGAAATAGGGCCGATTTTGCTAGGAAAATCACCTCCATCGTTTCACAGAAACAAAACACTGTTTTCATGCATTTTTTGAATGTTTCGAGAAGATGATAGATTTTTAAGTAATTTTGTCTTATATTACAAGTAACGCGACGCAAACGTCGCTGATCCTCCACGCAAGGATGCGATGTTGTTGAGCGCATCGTATTCGTCCTAGGAAGTATGAGACCTAGTATCGTCATATACACTTAAAGGAACAAAATTAAAGGAATAGTATATGGAGGGTGTGGGTTGAGAGAAGATGAACTCATACCCACACCCAGCCATACGACCTTCAACACTATAATACGTTAATTGACTACGACTAATAACAGATTAAATGTTATTTTTGGAAATTTTTTAAATAACAAAACTTACGCATGTGTATGAACAAAAAGTCTATCTAAATAATACTTTTTAAATTTTCTTAGACTAGCAACAAGTGTTTTTGGAGAAGGTGGATTTTCATCTGTGCCACCATCAACAGTAAAAAAGAACAACTGGTTTTACTTGTGCTGTTCCATTGTGTGCAACTTTTTCAAATTAAAAAGACGATCAAAATTCACTGCATGTGATTTAGCATTTGATTGATCATATTTATCTGAACATGTCACAATATATGTTCAACCTGAATAACCTAAACCATCATCTTCAGATAAAACATATGCTGTATAAACACTTGGTGTAAGTTTATGTCTTGATGTGACAGTTCAATCGTGATCGAGTTAATATATATGATGATCCAAATGCATTAACATTGATAACTAAATATGAGCTACTAGTATATTAAGGAGAATTCTATATTTATCATCTTGTCATAAATAAAATACACAACCATTTCCAAAAAATGATGTAAAATCTTTCATATAACGAATAGTTGCTGTTGCAAAATGTTCATCATTTTGTGCAGGATGAAGACGAACTGGAACAATTTGATTATGTCGATGATCTTCTATTGATGATATACGATAAGGGAAAAGACTAAAAATAACATTCTTTGTTTTGTTTTTTTGAATCAAAAGAATTTATCTTTTATCGATAATAAAGTATTGCTCATTTAAATTTGATACTAACATTATGTTGTTTTATGTTTTTCACGTAAATCATTTAATATCAAACAAGAACGAATGGTTTCTGAATGTCGTCGATCATCACCAGCATGACCAACTTTATCAATTTCTTTAATAATTTTTAATAAATCGAGACGTTGTCCTTTAATAGATGGTCGACTATCACCATGATGATGAAGTTTATTTAATTGTGCATTTAATTAAGGCTTTGTTTCTAAGAAATAATCAATCTAAAAAAAACGAAAAGAATATTTAGTTATTTGAGATTTGTTTTTGATTATTCCAAGGTTTATTGGATACAATTTGTCTTGATTAACGATTTTTTAAATTGATAAACCTTCTTTTTTCGTCGATTCAAGCATTACTTGTTTTTTGGGGTGTGGGTGTTGGGTATCGGTGTGAAAAAACGGTTCGGACTTTTCTCACATCTATGCCCACATCCCACACATCCACCCACACCCACACCCTCGACATGAAATTTGCTATATTTGTTCATCAAATAGATCATCACGATTTTATAAATATTTAGCGTATAGTTAGGTTAAATGAATATCACTTTATATGAAAAAAATCTATTATAAGATTAAATTAATATTATTACCAATATTATTTTGTTCGAATTTGAAAAACTAATATATTTATAAAGTAATTTACCATATTATAAACAATTGATTATTGATAATTCTCATCAGAAATTTTAACAATAAACATAGTTAACTGTTTGATACGACCATCAAGTAAAGTACTACAATTTTCAAAAACGATTTACACAAATAGATAATTTGTAAATAGTTGAAGAAGAAGAATAAGCTGTCAAAGGTAAATTACGAAATGATAAAAGTACACATGATCTAGTACAAGATAAATGTTTTAGATTTTTGAAGAATTTAACTATATATTTGTGTACATAAGATCTCGAATTTGTTTTTCAAGTATCTTGTGAAATGGTGACTTGACTAAATTAAGAGAAATAATTAAATACCATGTAGAATATACAACGTGTCTATCAAACTCTGTGTTCATATTAGCAGAAGAATGTTTTACCTGTAAAATATTTTGAAGTAGTTTTGTTATTGAAATTGAAGAATTTAAGTACAACTAGATTGGGATAATCAGCAGCGAGAAGAATACGTTCTATAGATTCCGATTCAACAATAAGAGATTTAATATTAAGAGCAATTTTTGACCAAGTATTTATACAGAATCGATCAAGTTTACAATCATCAATCAACAATACATTATTAGTTATCATTGTCAATACAAAATTGAGACTTGTAGTAAACTTTTGGTCTTTTACTATCATATTAAGTGTTTGATTTTCAATATCCAATAATGAATAGAGAACATCCATAATGTCAAATCTCATCAATATGTTAAATAATATTTCATTAGGTAGATCAAGAAATGTGGCATTTGACTGATTCATATTCATTGGTATTTCGTTCTATCAATTATGTTTATTGAATAGAATGAATAAATGACCTGGTCAGAAACAAAAAAATATCATCGATAAATAATTCCCTAAACTCATCAATGAACATCGATGCTTTTTTTCCTCGATAGCTTACGTGTGTAGTATAAATACATACTGGTCCTCAGTCACATTCTAATTCTTGTGTTTAATAGTGATTATTTGATTTGATAATTTCTTCAAAATAATTATTAAACAAGAAGATATTTTAAATAAGTCAACGCATCATTTCTATCTATATTATTTTGGATAAACTTGTTCCTATTTTATCAATAATAACCTTTAATTTTGACTAATGTATACTGAGAGAAAAGTAACATCAATTCGATTCATTTCACACACTGATGATTTCGTTTTGTAACATGTTATTAATCTCTTCTTATATCATAAATCGTGAGGCTATTCACTGTAAATGAAAATAAAAATAATAATAGAAAAGCGATTTAGACTTTTTACAATATTTTTTATTAATGGATGATGTTAAATATTTATCGAGATATTAATCATGAATTATAGCAATTGATCAGAAAATGAATATCAGTAGTAATCATATTAAGCTTACTTTGGTAAATTAATATATATCTACTGACGATTTGTTTACATTTGTAATTGATATAAACGACAAAGTCTGTGAACAGTCTTTACATTGAAAATACATTGAATAAAATACACATAAGTTCATTCATGTGAATACCAGTGAATAAATCAATAGATCAATTGAGTATTAGATCGTTGTGTATACAATTTAATGATCTATTAGTTTATGAAATATTTTACAACATATTTTTCCTTCGTTTAACCAACTATTGTAGTTAACTACCGAAAGGAGTGACGAGTACGTATATAATTGTAATTTGCCTCGAAGAACTTTTTTAAATCAAGGTTCTAGATAGTCTTATATGAAATCAAGAATTAAGAAGTAATGTGTATCGACTGTTGATACAACTTATCCTAGACGAACAGAATTGAATTATCCATTTAGGTATATCTATTGTCCGTTTCAAAATAAATGGTACCTGGTCATTTTTTGAATAACTTCCGCTAGGTGCAAGATATCTACCTGCGGTTTTCACCATTCGAAAGAGCAGAATGTGGGTATTCATCTAACGAAGTGTCATACTCACACTCGCACCCATCGTTGACTAAATAATGATGTTAGAAGTTTCGAGATTTTATAATTATTTCGACATTAAGGAATTATTTCATAGGGTCATATTCATATATTTGACAAGCTCATCTAGTGTATTTCCAATGAAATGTTAATAGATTAGCAAATTTGTTAGGTTTGCGGAATCATGGTAGCATAAAATGCGTAAGCTAAACATATAAAAAATAGTCTATTGAAATATATACCAACTGAAAGTTACACTAATTTTCAAGAAAATGATTAATGATTTTAATTGCAAACTGATCAAAACAAAATCTAAATATAGGTCGATAACAAGTATATCATAAGAGCGATAAATAATTATGAGAATTATAAACGAGGTAAAACTCTTTTTTTTCACCATTCGAACAATATGGTTTTTCTTTTTTTGAATAGAACTTATCTCTATTATTAATTTTGAGTCAAATTGTAAGTTTATGATTTGTCTTATTTCAACATATAAATCGCTAAAATATGTCATAAAAAAAGATAATCTGTCTAATAACAATTTATAAGTGTTAATAAAAATACAAGCAGCATGTATTGATCACTTTTCAATATTTTCTAAATCGAAATTGATCAGTAATCTATATAAATATCTTGCACGAGTATAGGTTAATGATGTTGACAAAGATTTAAATAGATGAAAAAGTTGAATCAATTTGTTAGATAATCGAATTTGAATAAAATTGTTTATTGTAACATAATTGTGTTATAAAATAAATATTCGATAAAATAAAGAAAAAGAAAATTTTCAATAATTTCTTAACAATTTTTAATCATAATATGAGCATCAAACATTATTTTTTTCTGAATTAATTCATTCATTATGATTGTCATGAATAAAAAATTTTTAATTTTCGATTATTTCTCTCTAATCGAAATTTTGCTGGAAGATAGAATTGTTTCTTTTTCAAACTGAATGTGATATATTTTTATTACAAGTTCCTAAATAATATAACAAAAAGGATAAGTACCGTTAAAACAAATTTGCACCTTTCGTAAGATTCAAAAAGAAGCACGAAATGTTGATCCCATATCTTTGTGATAAGTACGTTTTGAAAGATATATTTTAAATCAGTTAATAGGATATTATTCCTCTTGGGAACAATATGTAAGATATTCGGAAATAAAGTGAGACTAAAAGAAAGAGAAATATTTGGCCAATAAATATGTAATTTTTATACGAACTCGTCAAAGACATGATGTAAAACGATGGTTGATTCTATTTTTGGAGATTCATTGAAAAGATCTTTTGAAAATGGTGATTAGTTTGATTTTTTGTAAACTTGTGAAAATAATTTTGTAAAAGTATGATTTATCAAAATTAATTGTCGTCTACTCAAATTAAAAAAGTAGACATATGATCCTGGAAGATCAGATGAAATCGTACAAAAAAGAATCCTGGTTTCAGAAATTTTACATCGATTCGCTCTAGAAGATTATTGTCAAGTTCGATCATATCATAAGATTTTTTTATAATCGTATTGTACTATCTTACAGAAAAGTAAGATCTTTCAGGTATTTTCTGTTATCATTCGATATAAAAGTTTGAGAATACGACTTTTAGCACGATTTAATTTCATCCTACATTTGATTTTTTGACTTGAGATCAAAATTTTCTTGTACTAATGTTTTCTCATTTCTCGTTTCATCTACCTTACGATTCTTTGACAAATACAAGTTGTATACTGTTGCACTGACGAGAAAGTTTCTTATCCACTAATGAAAAAATACTCTTTTCAGAATATTTTTATTGAAGAGACTTCATTTTGTTGTTACACTGCTTTGTTTATGAATATAAAACAAAACTAATTTACATACGATTCGAATAATGAAAGTGTTTCCTATCTTCTTGCCAATATAGATTTTCTTTCAGCAACTTCCCATTGCTGAGTCATAAGAGCCAACATTTGTCCCATTACCTTTGCATCTAATGCTATATTAAAAGCTGTAGCTTAAAGATCTCAAAATGATATTTTCAATTTAAAATAAATAAATAATGAGAAATCTAAATAGAATTCTCAATTAATTTAATTATTCATGAAATTTAAACGATTTTATTAAAATGCGATAGCTAATATATTGAATTATAGAACTATAAAACTAAATACTTATGAAATGAAAATGTCGAAAAAATATCAAAACAAAAACCAACGACTAGTTATTATTTGATTAATTTGATACACTAAATTCAACATAAGATAAATTCATATGTTAAGTAAGAAATATATTCTAAATTATTATTAGTTTCTATGAAGGTTTTTTAATTGGTTTCCATATCGGTCAGTTAGCATGTCAGATTAGATCATTAGCCAAATAAATAATTCTCACTTTTTTTCGACTTAATAAACAATAAACAAAACGTTTCAGTTATAAGAAATTAGGAAGAAAAAATTGATGAATTTTACTACATTTGAATAATATTTCAAATGATAATTGTTAAGTTTTACTAATAATAACAATGAATTCTGATTATATATTATACTTGTTTTATAATAATATATTAAGATCCTCTCAGTATTAATTTCTCAACAAAATGTTCAGGAACAATCGGCTCTAATGAAAGAGACTTGTGGTAAAAATCTCAGCATAATATGCCTAATTAGATCGAATTTCTGGCTTGTTTTTCTACTATCGAAGAAAACTGAAAGAACTCCATCGTTATAAAGAGTACAGAGTTTGGACTGCATTCAAACTAAAACTAGCTCTTGTGTGCAATTTTTCATCGGACGGAATTTTTGAAATTTCCTTCTATTCAATTATTACAAACATTTTAATGGACATGTTGTTCAATATAAGCATAACAAAGCAATTAAATATGAAAGTTAGCTCTGTTCCGAGCCGGATAGAATTTATTTCAATTTGTTGCCGAGAAACCAAGTTTTGGGAAAAACACTTAAGAACTTTAAGAAAAAATTTCTTCATCCGAATCTGGAGAAAAAACCATTCTAGAATGGTACATTCACAATACGTTTGTTGACATTTGCAGGTTATCTTTCTGATTATTCAAATCATTTTCATTTGACTAAGTGTTGATTTTTTATTTATTTTTGTTTAAAATGCTGTGACGTTTCGTTTCTAGTTTACAACTTCATCAGTTGTAAAAATTTATAAGATTTTTTCCGGATAATTGTAATTGATAAAAGCAAATCTTAAATAGTTGAATATAGTTTAACTCAATCTCGACATAAAAATTCAATTAATTTCGATTGAAATATTTCAACATTAAATTTTTATTTGGTTTTAACTAAATAAATCTTAAAGGTTGATTATCAATTTAAATCTATTTTAATTATTTATCAGAAATATTTCTACAAAAACTAATCAACTCATCGAAATCAAATTGGTTAATATTACATAAATACATAAAAAATAGGATGTGGGTGTGGGTAGACAATAGAATACCCACGCACACCCACCCTTCAGACTTGTTTGCTGTTGCTATTCATACTTACAGATATGATAACTTCATTCGGATAAACCAGAAGATTTGATGCTTGTCTTTCAAGAGAGGAACTAATCGAAAGATCTGAAATATTTATAGAATACTATTTTCGATAAGTTCTGTTTCTACATAAAGTTCCAAGTCGAAATTCGAAAATCACTTTTTCTGATGCTCCTGAGAGGGAACACGGCATTCATTTACAAACATACCGTAAAAATGCAATATCTTCGTACGAACAAGCTATCAGTCCGAAATTTTTTCAAGATATCCATAGTTTCTTTGTAC